TTTGTGGATTTTGTTAATGTGACCAGTGACATTTCTCTCTAAACAGGGGCTGATTTTTAGGTTCAAGTTCCTGATGCTCATCACCCTGGCCTGTGCAGCCATGACCGTCATCTTCTTCATCGTGAGCCAGGTGAGGGATGGCTCTGGGCTTCCCGGGAGAGCATCAGCTTCCAGCCGCTCCCGCCGCCGGCTCATCGCTGGTCAGGCAGGACTGGCCTGTTCTGAGCACCTTTGATAACGAGTTGCTTTTGAAGAAGTTGTTTTCATTTATTTGAAGTTCTGCCATGCAGTTGTTGAGGCTGGAGCCGGCACAGAGGCCCTTGGCTCCTGGGGAGCGTTGGGGCTGTGCTGTGGGAAATCAGCTTTAGTCATTTCTGAGAACACAGCGAGGGGAAAATGTTCTGTTCACATGGAAACACCCAGGTGGCTTTGTGTGCCCACAGAGACATGAGAGCATCCAACCTTCCCTGGGCTGACTGCAGCCCTGCTGTGGCCAGCAGCAGCTGTACCTGTTCGTCCTGAGCTCTGATGTACAAATGAGCTTTTATTGCTGCTTGAATCATGGAGTCGCAGTCTGGCTTGAGCTGGAAGGGACCTCAAAGCCCATCTCATGGACAGGGACACCTCCCACTGTCCCAGGCTGCTCCAAACCCATCCAGCCTGGCCTTGGGCACTGCCAGGGATCCAGGGGCAGCCCCAGCTGCTCTGGGAATTCTATCCCAGGGCCTGCCCACCCTGCCAGGGAACAATTCCTGCAATCCCAAGATCCCATCCAGCCCTGCCCTCTGGCACTGGCAGCCATTCCCTGTGTCCTGTCCCTGCAGGCCTTGTCCCCAGTCCCTCTCCAGCTCTCCTGGAGCCCCTTCAGGCCCTGCAAGGGGCTCTGAGCTCTCCCTGGAGCTTCTCCTCTCCAGCTGAGCACCCCCAGCTCTCCCAGCCTGGCTCCAGAGGGGCTCCAGCCCTGGAGCAGCTCCATGGCTCTCTTTTTAAACTACTTTAGTTTTCTTCTTGGCCTTTCTGTTGCTCTTTAACAGAAAGCAACATTGCAGATTGAGCAGTCTGTGTATCTTCAAGGAGTATTAATATTGATGATATTTTCATGGATGTTGACAGCCCTCAGCATGTGGCAGGTTGGTGCTGTCAGCCTGGCCCCTGCTCAGCCAGCCATGCTCAGCACATCGATTCCCCCATTATTCAGGCTGGTTTTCCTGCTATACAAGGTGTGTTTTTAGCAGTGGGGTATTTTGGGATGTCACTGGTGTCCCCAGGTAGGGAGTGCCCTTCGTGTGCCAGTCTGTGCTGTGGCAGGAGTACCGCAGAGCAGAGGTTCGGTCACAGCAAATGAGACATCAGAGCTGAAGGAGTCCTGAGGGAATCATTTTCTCAGGAGCATTTTTTCCCTGCAGACTGAGACTGAAGAGGAGAATCCCAGCCTGACTTCTGCCTCACTGAACCTGTTACACTCCATTTCCTCCCTCCTGTTGAACTGACTGTTCTCACTGATTTACTCCAAGGCTGTGTTTTTATGGTGTTTGCTCTTCCTGATGGCCTGTCTGTGTCTGTTTTCTCTGGACAGGTGACAGAAGGCCACTGGAAGTGGGGGGAAGTCACAATCCAGGTCAACAGTGCCTTCTTCACCGGCATCTACGGGATGTGGAATCTCTACGTGTTCGCCCTCATGTTCCTGTACGCGCCATCCCACAAGAACTACGGTGAAGACCAGTCCAATGGTAAATGTCCCCAGATGACCTGAGGGCTCTCATGGAGACAGAGGCACAAAGTAGGGGATGCCTTCTGTGCCTTTTTTTTTTTTTTGGCCCAGGTGCACACTCAGTGCCTTGAAAAGTTTTGCGAATGATGGTTTGGGTTTCCAGGCGGGTATTTGAGTTAATGGCTGGGTTAGACAGGTTTGACTTTTAGGCAAGGCTGACTGGAGCCTTCAGGATGGTTTTTGTGCCTTTTAGCACTGCCCTGATGGAACTGCGTAGCTCAGATGGAGGGATGAGGAGTGGGGAAAACAGACCCTCCTGTCAGGGAGTTGTGCAGAGCCAGAAGGGCCCCCCTGAGCCTCCTTTTCTCCAGGCTGAGTCCCTTCCCAGCTCCCTCAGCCTCTCCTGGCACTCCAGACCCTTCCCAGCTCTGTTCCTTTCCCTGTCTCTTTGTCCTTGTCCCTGTGTCCCTGTCCCGTGTCTGTCCCTGTGTCCCTGTCCCCATCCCTGTTCCCGTCTGTGTCCGTGT